CCCTAGGACAAGGCCGTGGCAGAGCCGGTCGGCCGGCTGCTGGAGAGCACGCTCAGGAGCGGCCATCTGCCCAGCAGGATCGGAGCCCTGCATGGCGTCCTCTACGTGCTGGAGTGCGACCTGCTAGACGACACCGCAAAGCAGCTCATCCCGGTCATCAGCGACTATCTCCTCTCCAACCTCAAAGGCACAGCCCAGTGAGTGGCAGCGGCCAGGACCTCCTGCTGCTGTCTCCCTCCAGGGCTTCTGTCTGACCAGAGGTGGGGGGCTGTGAGGAGTGACAGTGCACATTTCAAAGCGTATGTCAGCCCCCGGCCGTATCATGGGCAGGGGTCAGCAGGAACCCAGGCGGGCACCCTTCTCACAGGGACGGTGGCTGCGGTCACTGAGACAGGGGGACACCACGTGCCATCAGGTGGGAGTAGCCACCACGCGTGGCTGAGCCTGGCCCTTGTCTCGTTCTCAGCTGCGTGAACATCCACAGCCAGCAGCACGTGCTGGTGATGTGTGCCACGGCCTTCTACCTGATTGAGAACTACCCTCTGGACGTGGGGCCGGAGTTCTCCGCATCCATCATACAGGCGAGCGGGAACGGGCGTGGGCTCCGTGCTCCGGGACCTGTGCAGCGGGGCCCGTGGTGGTTTTCATGTGGGGGAAGGTGCATGAGCGACAGGAGGCCAGATGTGGCTCTTTGACTGGGAGGTCTTCCTTCCTGTCCAGATGTGTGGGGTGATGCTGTCTGGAAGCGAGGAGTCCACCCCGTCCATCGTGTACCACTGTGTCCTGAGGGGCCTGGAGCGCCTCCTGCTCTCCGAGCAGCTCTCCCGGCTGGATGCGGAGTCCCTGGTCAAGCTGAGCGTGGACAGAGTGAACGTGCACAGCCCACACCGCGCCATGGCGGCCCTGGGCCTGATGCTCACCTGTATGTACACAGGTGAGCAGGGGGCCACCTGCGCCCGGCGGGTCAGTGCCGCTGAGCTCCGGACGCACAGGACGCAGACCACAGGCCCCTCCAGTTCTCAAGGTTGCAGAGCTGTGCAGGTGTCGGAACCCCGCCTGGGAGCGCGTCTGCAGACAGACCCCTGGGCCCTGTGTGGCTGGGCTGGGCCCTGGGGTGCTGGGGGCTCCCGCCACCTGGTCTCAGATCATCTCTAGGTGTTTAGTAAACTCCTGCGTGAGTTCCAGGCCCTGTTTACAGAACCTGTCCAGTTTTACAAATGAAAAGAACTGACTGGCTTTGTTTCAGGAAAAGAGAAAATCAGTCCAGGCAGAACCTCAGACCCCAGCCCTGCCGCCCCTGACAGCGAGTCAGTGATCGTGGCCATGGAGCGTGTGTCTGTTCTTTTTGACAGGTAAGAATGGAGCCTGCCCTGCCCTGCCCTGAAGCGTTAGCCGGGAGCTGCTGCTTCCTACACACCCGCTCTGCTCTCAGCCCGCCTGTGCCCTGAGCGCGCTTGCGCTGCCCTCGGGCTCTGCTCCAGCCGCCAATCCTAGGACCCCAGCGCCCTGTCCCCAGTGCCGGCGTGTCTGCTGAAGGCGAGGGGCAGTGCCGGCCGTGTGGTGGTGTCGGGAGGGCCTGTAATGAGACGGGGCGTGCAGCCCTGGTCGGTCACGGGACTGGCCATCAGACCTGCTGCCTTGTGAGAGGAGCCTTGGAGCCACGTTTGCAGTGGCTCAGAGGCTTCGGCAGACCGTGGTACAGACTTAAATGACAGACGTCTTTGAGAGCCTGCCCCCGACGTGTGTGCCCTTGTGTCCAGGACTGGCTCAGTTTGCGGTCCTGCAGAATGGGTGAGGGGGCCTAGTCCGGCTTTGCCCCAGGCCTCCTGGTCCAGGTGACGTGCTGTGTCTGTGGCCTTGGGGCAGCCGACTCCGCACCACTCAGCCTGACAGGTCTGGTCAGCTCAGTCAGCAGGAGGTCATTTGGGGTTTCACAAGAGCACACTTAGCAGGACTTTCTCTGTCTGCTCTGGCCAGGTGAGGGGCTGTGGGAAGCTGAGCGCGTGGGCTGTTTTCACGTTGAGCGTTGAAAGTGTTTACAGTCATTCTTCCCTCACATTCTTCGGGCCCCTCCACGGTGGGCAGAGCCGCCCACGCAGGCCCCTGCCCACGTGGGGCTTGCATTCCCACGCCTGCTGGTGGGATAAACGCTTCAGCCAGTGCAGTGCCGGCGTTCAGCCTGACCACCCTCCAGACACGCGGGGGGACACTGGCTTGACAAAGCTGACTTTCAGTTGTGAGTGTCGCCCATGCTGGGCAGCGGCTGGCGTCTGCAGGCAGGTGGGACAGGCACGCCTGGGCCAGTTTCTGGGTCCCTTCTGGTGCTTTTCAGTCACACATAGCTTTCCTGTACGGTCGACTCTCGGTATCCACGGGGGTTGGTTCCGGGACCCCCCACGGATTCCAAACTCTGCTGATGCTCAAGTCCCTGGCATAAAATAGTGGAGAGCACTCCGCCTCTGTGTCCTCGGGCTCTGCCTTCATCCAGCCAACCGCGGAGTGAAACGCGGGTGCGGAACCCGCAGATACGGAGGGCCAGCGGTGTGTGCTAACGGTACGGTAGCGTGAGTAGCCTGCTGGCCGCCTGCCCAGCTGGCACCTGGAAGGACGCTGCCCAAGATGCCCGCTGAGGGTGTGTTGAGGGGAGGTGGCAGGAGGGCACCAGGGACAGACGGGAGAGAAGGGGGCCTGGCGAGACGCTGACAGGTTCCAGGAGCGTGTGGACACTGGTGAGGACAGGCCCGAACGAGGACGTGGTTCTGTTACGACTGACTTAATTCCCCCATAATGCCACTACCCCAAACCGTTTCTGCTTGTTACTCCAGGACCCCTTTTTGGCTTGGGGGCCCCCGTGCGGGTGGGGAGCCCTGGGCAGGGCGAGGCTCTGATCCGTGTCTCCTCCCTGCAGGATCAGGAAGGGGTTTCCCTGTGAAGCCAGAGTGGTGGCGCGGATCCTCCCCCAGTTTCTAGATGACTTCTTCCCGCCCCAGGACGTCATGAACAAGGTCATTGGAGAGTTTCTGTCCAACCAGCAACCGTACCCGCAGTTCATGGCCACCGTAGTGTACCAGGTGAGGGCCCAGTGCAGAGGAGCCCCCAGACCGGGTGCCTACTACCGTCTGAACGTGTCGGCCCCGGGGACTTGCCAGTTCCTCCCCTTGAAGCCAGCCACCACTCTTCCCCCGAAGCCGGTGTTGACGGGGTGGCCCCCCGGGGCTCTCTGCCCTTGCAGGTGTTCCAGACTCTGCACAGCACAGGGCAGTCGTCCATGGTCCGGGACTGGGTCATGCTGTCCCTCTCCAACTTCACGCAGAGGACTCCGGTTGCCATGGCCATGTGGAGCCTCTCCTGCTTCTTTGTCAGCGCTTCCACTAGCCCGTGGGTTTCGGCCATGTATCCTTCCCTGGGTCCTGGGGCCCCGCGGGACGTAGCACTCAGGGGCAGCACTTCCGTCAACATCCAGGTTGACATTTGCGTTAAGGTTTTGGAAACCTAAGCTCTGCAGAAAGCCCAGGTGTCAAGGTGTTGTTTACCTTAAGCCCCAAGAGAGTAAGCCATGGACAAGGAAACAGAAAACCATGTGTTCCCCATGCTGAGCAGGAGGGGCGGGGCTGGGGCGTTTCTCTGAGGAGTGGGGGGGGGGGGGGGGCAGGGGGGCGCAAAGAGCTCCTCCCGCCCACTCTGGTCCGTGCAGCTGGGTGTGTCCCTTGTGCTGCTTCTGTTTATTTTTTGTCACATGCCTCGTATCACTCTCTTGGGTAAAAGCTTAAGTGAAGATCCAGTTCCCACCCCCAAGATGCTGGCTGCTAAAGGGACGTTCCCCTCCTGTCAGCCACCCCCTAAGACAGACCGCAGAGCCTCGGAGCAGACAGACGTCCTGGCGCTGTCAGCGGCCCTGGAGGGCGGCACAGCTCTGCCCTCGGCGCACGGGTGCCAGGCCAGGGAGGTGCTGCCCAGAGGAGCGCCCTCCGTGGGGGGCTCTGGCTTCCCGGAGCCAAGGTGGGAGGCAGCTGCCACCTCCACCCCGTCCGTGGCTTGGCTTGGCACTCGGTGCTCCCGGGCCGTTGGCAGGCCTGTGTCGGGGCAGGGGTTCCCGGGGAGGACGGGAGGCAGGTCCCCCCACACTTGCAGCCTTGCGCCCTTAACCGCCCTGCCAGCCTTCCCCACGTCGTGAGCAGGATGGGCAAGCTGGAGCACGTGGACGTGCACCTCTTCTGCCTGGTGGCCGCGGACTTCTACAGACACCAGATAGAGGAGGAGCTCGACCGCAGGGCCTTCCAGTCTGTGTTCGAGGTGGTCGCGGCACCAGGAAACCCGTATCACCGCCTGCTGGCTTGTTTGCGGAACGTCCACAAGGTCGCCACGTGCTGAGCGCCCACGTGGGCGGAGGCGAGGTGGCGCCAGGACTCGGGGCCCCGCCTGCACCGCGTGGCTCGGCCTCACCGCGTGCAGGGAACGTATGCAGGAATCTTGGGGGTTGAGCCTGAGTCCTTGCAGGGGCAAGAGCAGCCGTTGCTGACCCCCGTGCTAGAGCTAGCGTTAAATGCCAGTCGCCGGTGTGTACTTCCTCACGTGCGGCCTGTTCGCTGCCACCGGGTCCCAGCTGCTCCTGCCTCGGCTCTCGCAGGTCGGCCGTGAGCCCCTCTGCTGTCCCGCAGGCGGGAGGTGATGCCACGGGCCTCCCAGAGCACCCCCCGCATCTCCCCAGTGAGGCACGGGGTCCTGGGGTCTCGCTGGCTCCTGCAGGCCTGCGTGCCGCGCTGGCATCGGGCCTGGGCGGGGCGGGGTGGCTGGGAGCACGATGGCCCGCGCCGTTCTTCCCTGTCTCTGTTTTCTTCTCAGGATTTAAAGTTTAATTATATCAGTAAAGAGATTAATTTTAAGGTAACTTTCTATGCCCGTGTACAGTCTGTGCTTTGCCGAGTCTGTGCTGCGTGTCACGGCCTCCGAGGAGGTCGACGGGAGCCCCTCCCTCTCCCTCCATGAGACTTAACTCTGGTGTTCCTCTCGCCCAAGCCCTAGTCCCCCGACACGCCGCCCTTTTTTGTGCATTCACGTTTAGTTAGAGTTTAGGGAGGTGTTGGCGTGCAGATGTCTGACCGGGAGTTCCCCCTGCCCCCTTACGAGTTGGGAAGGTTCCCCCGTGGCTGTCCTGGTCGTGGGCAGTCAGCGCTGGGGCACAGATGGCTCTCAAGGCTCTCCCACTGGTGACGGGCGGCTCCTGGGCACTTAGCCGACAAGGCCGGCCCGCCTGGCCGTGAGCAGCCTCCGTCCTGACCAACACTGTCGTCCCCCCAGCAGGCTCCTGTCCTGACTGGGGCTGCGCTCTACCCAGGGGCTGGCCGACGGGTGTTGGGATCCGAGTCCCCCGTGTCCCTCCTGCACAGTGGGGCCCAGAGGCTCGCCTGGTCTGGCAGCCCCGAGGGTGTAACAGCGTTAGTTGTCTGCGCTCCTCTTGGTCAAGAGCAAAGCTTGGAGTCCTGGCAACTGTTTGAGAAAGGCCCGAGCACGTCCTCGGCTCCCTTTCAGTCCATCCGCGGGGCCTCCTTTCAGCACAGGCGGGTGCGGATCTGTGCCCACTGGACCAGTGGTGGGGCAGGAATGAGGCCAGCCAGGGCCTCCACTTCTACCCCAGGCCCCGGCCCCTGGACCAGCTGTTTCTGGGCCCAAAGCAGCCACATCATCAAATGCACACGAGGCGTGGACAGTCGAGTGCCCTTGGCCAGGGGCTGGTGGAGCGCTTACGGGCGGGGCTCTTCGGGTCCCCGGAGGCAGCCAGTCATTTGGTCACCGTCATGCTGGCCAGTTTGGTCATGAGCTCAAGTGCAGTCAGGTTTGGGGTGTTTCCCTGGCAGGTGGAGATGACTGTGAAGCCGACCTCCAGAGTCTGCCAAGGGGAGGGGCCCTTCGGTGCACGGTTAGCTACCCTTGCGTCTGTGCGACATCTCACCATGGCGCACACAGCTGCGGGCGCAGACCCAGGCCGCTCCCACCCCCAGAGCTGCCGTGGTTTGAGGCCAGCTGGGGTCAGAGTGTGCGGCCAGGGGAGGCTGTGGGAGCCCCTCCTCAGAGCAGCCCTTGGCTTTCCCTGCCTGCCCCACCAGCGCCCGGCAGAGGCCTCGCCCGGCCAGGGCGTGAACAGTAGAAAGGGGTCAGAGGTCCAAGTAGGACCTTGGGGAGGATCTCCTGACTCTGAACAAGAATTGAGAAAAGTCACCGCTCTTTCTCCCTTTTCACTTTGGACTCCCCCGTTATTTCAGCAGCTCCGAGATAGACGCATCGCAGGCTGACGTCCCTGCTTAGATGTTTTCGCTTGTTAGAAATAGCTCTGTGAATGTAAAACTGGGAACCGTTCCCCTTAGGAGTCATAGCTCCGGCCTCAGCTGAGTTTGGTGGGTTCTCCTTGTTACCACGTGACCTGTAACAGCCAGTGCTTAACGAGGGGGCTTGAGCCCAGCTCTGGCCCTAGGTGCCAACCCAAAGACTTGCCGGTGTGCCCCCGAAGTGGATATGAGTTTATGAGTGAGATCGCTTTACCCGTGGATGAGTACGTGTGTAATGTGTTTGTATGTGTCTATATTCATCAAGACACAGACAGGCGAGGCCTCTAAGAGTGGCCATCAGTTCCCTGCAGAAGCCGACCTTCCTTAGACCTGCCCTGTGGAGTCGGCTGCATGGGGTCATTAAAATCCCACTGAGAAAACAGTCCACCTCGTCAGCTCTCTGCAGAAGGGACTGACTTTACCAAGTTCCTGAAAGTCTGCGGCGAGCACCAGTCCTACCGCCAATCCACATTTTGTTGAAAGTATCGATGATGTGATCGTCAGGTTTGTTTTGTTTTTTTGGGGGGGTGTTTTTGTTTTCCTGCTGGTGACACAGGAAAGATCTGGGTGAAACCAGGGTAGGGCTGGTGGGCGACGCACTTGCGCGCCTTCTCGGAACCGTGCCTCCCGGGGCGGCCCCTGAGCCGGGCAGGGGCTCTCCAGCCTCCTAGTGCCCTTTACCACGGGCTCTCCCACTCCTGCAGCCCTGTATCCTCTCAGGAGGAAGGAAGACGCTGAGGCGCCTCCAGACACCCACAGCGTGGCATCAGAGGAGCCCCTGAACCCCAGAGGGCCCCCTTCGTGGCCGGGCGTCACTGCCCAGCCCTGGGGCGCGGGCGGCTCATCCGTGGAGCCGAGGGGAGCCCCTGCTGTCGGCGCGGGTTCACGGAGCTGCGCTCGGCCGTGCTGCAGGGAAACTCCTCCGGGGCCGCGTGGCGTGGGCCACTGGTCTGTGGTTCGCAGGTGAGGACTCAGTTCCATCTTGATATCGTCTCTTCCTGGCACGTGGCCTCGCTTTGGCTATTGTCCCTCTGCGCCGTGGCCGAAAGTGTAGCTCCCGGCCAGGGTGAGACTCAGGGCCGTTCTGCCCACTGGAGCGACAGGCGGGGATGCGAAAACCACCCCGAAGGCCACCAAGGCTCGCTGGGGAGCTCGGGGTGCCCCCGCGAGGAGGGGACCACGGGCCCGGGCATGCGCTCAGCAGGGAGGGGCCGCTCAGGTGGCGTGACAACCGGAAGGGGCCTGGAGGGTGCAGGGGCACTCTACCCCTGTGCCTGGCACTTTCTAAAGCAGCTGGAGCAACCCACTTCCCTCGAGCGCATGTGGGAGCATCTGGCCCCAGACAGTCACTGCAGGGTGACCCCTGGCCCTGGAGGATTGTGGCCGTCGTGGACCTGCCGAAGGTGGTTGGGCTCTGAGCTCAGTGGGGCCACCTGCCCGTACTCGCTGCCTCGAGCCGTGGCGGAGTGGCCATCGGCAGGGGTTTGAGCTCATGCTGCACCGCCGCCACTGTCCCCGCCGTCCCTGCCACGCTGGGCACCAGCAGGGCTGCGATGGGTGCATCCCGGAGCCTGGCCCAGATGTGACTGTCTGCGAGAGGAAAGGGAAGTCTGACGTGAGATGTACATTTTAATTTTTTAAACTGCTACAAACATTGTACTTATGAATTAAAAGAAAAGAATTAAGCGATAACTTGCTGGGTGAGGCCTGCTTTGCTTGCGGAGAGCCTAGACCCCGCGGCGGGGAGGCAGGAATTGATGCCACACCAGCTGGAGCCCAGTGCCTCGGTCGGGGGCCGCCGGTCGGGGTGGCTGGCCATGCGGGGCTGAGGAGGCGACCCGCGGGCCACCTCACAGCGGGCCTCCTGCCCGCACACGCGGCCGCGAAGGCTGCAGCGGTTCTGGTGGAATCTCCCAGGGGCCGTGGGGTTTCGCCCGGAGCCCTACCCTGGAGGGGCGGTCAGGGCTGGCACAGGTTCTGGGGGGCTCACTCGGGGGCCACGACCTGACTTTTGAGCCCCTCACGGTCTAGCTGCCCCTTCCGCCTCATTGGCCATTGCCCCCCCGTGCTCCTGGGCGACAGCGTGAGGCGATGCTGCCCTGTCTATTTGAGCCGGTGAGTTCTTCCCACCTGAAATGCTAGCTCCTCCTGGAAGTCTTCTCCACTCAGCTGAGTGGGCACCGTCCTTCCCAGCCCCCAGGAACCCCGGTAGTGAGCGTCACAGTCATCTCGGGGCGCTGGTGATTGCCCACCAACCTGCAAACACAGAGACCCTGGGCCGCGGGCTGCCCCGGGCAGGCGCTTCACAGTGTCTGCTGAAGTCCCCCCAGTTCTGGGAAGTGGGCGGCCCCGAGCCCGACCGTGGTGGGGGCCCCGAGAGACGGCCGAGCACGGGTGGACTGGCCCCTGCCTGTGGTCACGGCCGTGTGACCGCACACGCCTGCAGACAGGGTGTCGGGATGTGCGCAGGCGCCGCAGGTGCGGGCAGTGTCGGCAGGAAGCTGCTTGGAGAGCGTTCAGCTGCTGGGCCTCGTGGACGGGCCGCACGGGTTCGTTTCCACCTGAGTTGCTCTGCGCGTTTGGGAAGATCATGTCGCCTCCACAGGTGTGTCTCCTCTGCGACACACCTCCAGGGCCCCTTCAGCTCACCCTTCAGAGCTGCCTAAGCTCTACCCGCCCCTCCCTGGTCCAGGCGAGGCAGCCAGACCCTGGCCGGCACACCTGGTCCACCTGCTGTTTCCAGAAAGGAAATGCCCCCAGATCCCCTGGAAAGAAGCGACGGCATGTCCCCCACTCACCCTCCAGCCACCGTGCACAGGTGCCCTCGGTAGAGGGCAAGACCCCTCTTCAGAGGAAGCCCTTGCTTCCTGACCTGACGCCTGAGAGCCCTTCTGGGTCTGGGGGTGCCCGGCCCAGCCTCACCCCTCAGGGTAGCCTGGCCATGGGCCCAGGCACCGCCGGACGGGGCATTCTGCCAGGGCCCGGAGCCTGTGGGCACAGGGTGGGCCTGCTCTGTGGGGTCACCAGGGCTCCTGGGAAACCATGAGGGTGTCCTGCAGTTTCCACGAGCTTGGGGGCCTCAACGGCCTGGCTTCTCCGTCTGGACGGCTCATCCCCACTGGCCTTCCAAGCAGGAAACCCGGGGCCCGTCATGGCCACGTCCTCTAGGGGCCTGACACTCTCAGGCCTTCACCGGCCAGGCCTCCACTCACCCGGCCCAGGGTGTGCTCGGAGGCTGGCTGGCCCAGTGGAGCCGTTGGGTCGGGGTTGGGTTCTGCCTGCTGAGGCGGAGGACTGAAAGTTACGGTCTGGGCTCCCGTGCGCGCGGGGAGAGGATGGTGGTGCCGGCACGGTCGTCGCCCCCTGGCACCAGGGAGTCCATCCTCCCGACCTGCCCTCCTTCAGCTCTGCCCTGCCTGCGCCCGGGCCTGGACCCATCTCCCACACTCCCTGTGCTTCCCTGCCTCTGCCCAGCTGGGGGGTCTTCCTCGGCCAAACCCCTGCCTTCGGAGACGGGCTCAGCTCACCGCTGCCTGCTCCCAGGAGGTGCTGGAGGCCCCTGAGAGACGCCCCTTCCTGCCCTGAGCCTCCGCGGGGGGAGGCAGAGGCCTGTGCCGAGGTTCACAGCCCTGCCCAGCCGAGGGCACGTGGGCCCACCCGTGGGGCCGCGGGGAGCTGGGCCTGCCTTCCCCACCTGCCTGGCCCCTCCTCGTCCTTGGACACCGAAAGTGAGGGCTCTGCTTCCGGGAGCGTCCCCCGGGCCCCCCTCTCCAGGGCTTCCGGTGCCCCTGAAACCTGAGAAGAGACGGTTGGAGCCCAGCCTTTTACCCTGACTCTCCTGGACGTTTGGCTGGAGGCCTAGCAGGGGGTGTAGATGCCTCCTCCGAGCCGCCTGGCTGCCAGGACGCTGAGCACGGGCAGCGATGCCTCTGGGCCACAGCTGCCCTGCGGAGGCATAGGGACCCCGCTGTCCTGGGGTTGACCAGGCCGGGTGCCCTGGGGCAGCAGCTTTTCCTGATGACGATTCGCCAGCCCCGCCAGGCCAGCACATGGGCCTCTGCCCTCTCCCAAGGCTCCAAGGAGGGTTTGGGTGGGGGGAGGGAGGGGGCCGGGGGAAGGGGTCCCAGGGCCTTGGAGGTGCAGCCTCCAGCCGCATGTCTGGCGGTGGGTACTTGTCCAGAGAGGACGACTCCTGTGCTCTGAGCCCCACTGTAGGTGAGGACAGGGGCTGGGGGCGGGGGGACGGCCGAGTCACAACCCGAGTTGGTGGAGCTGGGTCTGAGACCCTGAGCCGGCTTTGCCTGCCTCTCCCTTGGTCCCCCTGGCCCTGGCGCTGGGAGGCACTGAGGCAGCCCTGCTCTGTTCTTGGAGTCGTGGTTGAAGAAAGGTCCTCCTGGAGGATGGTCAGGGTTGGCACAGGCTCTGGGGGACAGAGAGCCAGCGCTAGGGCCACTTGGTAGGTTGAATCCTTCATCTAGGGCGGGGCGGGGGGGAGGTTTCCTGGAGGAGGTGGGACTTGCGGTCACTGGTCCACTTGGCAAGCACTACTGAGTGCTCTATGCCAGGTACCCAGGCTGGAGGAGTGCAGCAGTTGTCAGCCTTCCTGGGCGGTGCTGTGTGGTGTCCCTGTGTCCCCAGAGAGGGAGGGGCCTCCACCAGGAGCTGATGGCAGGCCCGGGCCCTGACCCAGGGACCCCTGCTGCCCTTCCCCTCTACACTCCAAGATCTGACTGGGGGGGAGGGAGGGAGCCCCAGCCAGCCCACCCCATTCTGAGCACCTCCCCTCCTTCCGCCTAGGGCTTCAGCCCGCCTCGCAGGGTGTCAGAGGGCGAGCTCTGGGCACGTGGGTGCGGGGGGGGGCACCTGGGTGGAGACTCGGGGACGCCTCGCATCCCAGGCTCAGCTTCCCTGTCCTGGGACGGCTCAGACCAAGAAGCTCCTGTCATAGTCAGGCCCGAGGAGGGTCCTCTGTTGAAGGTGGAGGTTTTCGGCCTGGACTTTGTGAGCCCTTCCCCCCGAGTTCAGGCCACCCCGGAACCCTGAGGATGCCAGGCAGGCTCACGGATGGGCACGCTGGCCTGTGGGCCTGGGGGTGGGGCGGGGGCACCACGTGGCCATTGCAGCCCGTCCAGCAGGTGTGAGGGCTCTTGCTGGCAAGCCACCTGCTTGAGTTTTACCTTCAAAATGTTCAGTCCCGATGCCTTAGGTGGCCCTTCTCTCTGAAGCCCCCGCAGGCTCCACTGCTCTGGTCTTCTGCCCGGCTAAGGCTTGGTCCCCTGGCCAGTCCCAGTGGGCACTCAGTCCCTAGGCCCTGCCGAGGTGGCGGCCCATCCCCAGCCTGGCTCTCAGGCCCTGCTGTCCTGCCCTCCCCGTTACAGCCCCACCACCTCTCACTGCCCGTCCTGCACATGCTCTGGGCCGGGCGGCCTTGCTGCCTCTCTTGGCCGGTCCTTCTGCAGAGCTCTCCTTCATCCTACGCTGCACCACCTGGCTGGCGCTGGAGGTTCATGTCCCTGTCCCCTGAGCCTCAGTCAAACACTGGCGGAGGCCTGCTGAGGGTGGGTGGCCGGGGACCCCAGCCAGTGCCAGTGGTCGCTTTGTCCAAGGTCAGCATTGGGGGGCCTCTCAGGAGAGCCAGGAAGCAGCAGGGGCGTTTTCCCAGGACCATGGGCAGAGGAGGCGTGACGGTGTCCTTCACGGGGAGCCTGGCGGCCACTGCACAACACAAGTCAAACCCAGTCCCGAGCCAGCCTGCCTGGGTTCTGGCCCAGCTTGGCTCCTTGACCACAGCGTGACCTCACCTTTGTCCCTCAGGCTGTTCATCTGGAAAATGGGAATAACAGCAGTGCCAGCCTCCCTCGCAAGAGTGCCGTGAGGATCAAAGTAGAAGACACAGACGTACCAGACATACTGCACTTAGAACCGTGCCCAGTCGCCTTAGCAAGCGTCATAGAGCTGGAAGGCAGAAAATAAATGGCTGGCTCATGGAAGGTCCAATTTGCAGGAGGGAAAAAGGGAAGAAGGACCAAAGTGTATTGAATAGGAAGACTTCAGAGAGGAGCTGATGCCAGAACAGGGTTTTGAAGAATGAATAAGAGTTTGCCAGTAAGTCCGAAGGTGAAGTCTAGGCAACCTGCTGGGAAGGGAGGGGATTTACTTGAGGTCAGTCCTTCGTTTGTTCACTCCTTTATTCAGCAAGGCTTCCCCGAGCTGTCTCCTGCGGGGCCGTGGGGTACAGGAGCAGCCGACCCAGCTGAGTGGACCAGGCAGGTCTGGGTGTGGATGGGGCTGATTGATGCAGGGCGATCAGGACTGCGGTGGGGCTGCCCATGGTGGGAGGGATCCGCACCACCCGCTCCCAGCTACTCTCTGGTCTCAAGCACTGTGCCGGCCCCTCAGCCCACCCCATGTGTCACCCAGGCCAGCAAGCATCCCGCCTGCAAGGAGGGGAGCAGGCAGACAGTGGCCGAGCCAGGGGTGGTGGGGGCCGGAGCCCTGCCTCGGGGCCGGAGCTCGGGGCCGGAGCCCTGCCCCCGCCCAGCCTGGTGGTGGTGGCGTTTGTACCGTAAGTGTGAGCATGTTGGCCGGAGGATGGCTGTGTGCAGGGCATGCAGGTGGGTGGGTGTTGGTGCACACACATGTCTCTGCGGGTCCCCAAGAGTGTGTTCCTGTGTGAGTCTCCCCATCTGTCTGTCTCTGCCCCTGCCACCCCTCTGTCTGTCGTCTCTCCTCCTCTGGGTCTCCTCATTTGTTTGCACCCCAATGCCTTACCCTGGGCCCTCCCTGGGCCCCCGCCTGTGTGAGCCGGGGCGGGGCAGAGGCGGGGGCTGCGGCCTGGACCCCACCTCTCAAGAGCCCGGTCTGCCCAGCGGAGGTGCCTCGTTCGGTGGCCTGGGCCGGCCAGCCTGGCGACAGGGCTGGGGCGCGGGGCGGGGCCGGGAGCCCGGGCCGCCGGTTTGGGGTCTGGCTCGCTCACTGCAATGTTGATGGCCCGTCAGGGCGGCCCTGATTCCTGCGCTTTCAGTTAAAAGGTTTCTGTTGTTGTAGCTTATGCAGTTGCTCTGTTGCTATGGAAACGTGACATCAAAATGACGTTTCCCGTTTAAAAGCTTTTAACTAAATTCCTGCCTGTCAGATGTAGGCCCCATTTTGAGCGAGGAGCTGCCTTCCAGGAGCGGGGCTCCCGCCGCCGCGGTGCGCAGGCCCCACGCGGCCCGGCCCGAGCGCGCTCTTTAACCCCGCAGGTGACCCCGGCATGGCAGCGGCCGAGGTGCCCGGCTACCTCGTGTCCTCGCAGACGGAGAAGCACCGGCGGGCCCGCAACTGGACGGACGCGGAGATGCGCGGCCTCATGCTCGTCTGGGAGGAGTTCTTCGACGAGCTGAAGCAGACCAAGCGCAACGCCAAGGTCTACGAGAAGATGGCCAGCAAGCTGCTGGAGATGACCGGCGAGCGCCGGCTGGGCGAGGAGATCAAGATCAAGATCACCAACATGACCTTCCAGTACAGGTAGGCCCGCGGCCACCGCTGTTGCCGCCACAGAGCCCCAGGGCACCCCAGGCTCGCTGGGCAGGCGGTCCGCACAGGGACATCGCCCCCCCCGCCCCCGCCCCCGCCCCGGCCGGGACATCCCCGGAGCTGAGTGTGTGGGGGGGGGTCCTGGCTTTGTGTAAGTGAGAGGGGACCTGCAGAAGCCATGGGGGAGGGGAGGGGGGAAACCGAGGCACAGGAGGGCCAGGCTGGGGCTGACCCCGGCTCCCCAGGCCTCGGCCAGGGCACCACCCCCCAGGCCCGCGGGCGACTCCCACTCGGCCCCCCAGGCTTGGCTCTGCTCCGCAGGGTGGCGGGTGCTGCTGTGTGGGCGGGAAACTGAGGCCGGAGGAGGCTCAGCCACCAGGCCTGCGAGCCGGCCTGTCCTGCCGCTCTGTCATCTTCAGCATCCGCTGAGCCTGCTGTGAGCACAGCACAGCGCTGGCCTTGGGGCCTGGGCGGGGCGTGGAGGGCTCAGCGGAAGCCCTGAGTGCCCAGGAGGGTCCGCTCCCGGGAGGAGGCCCCCGGCCCTGGCTGCCGTGGGAGGAGCCCGGTCGGGGCCAAGTGCGCGGCTCCGGCAGGGGCAGCTCTGGCGTCCGGGACGGAGCCCTGTGGCCCCACGTGCCCAGCACCGTGGAGTGTGAGGCCAGGCCTATCTGCAGGGGCTCACGGTGAGGAGAGGGTCACAGGGAGGGCAAAGGTCAGAGGTGTGGCGTGGGTCAGGGCAGGTAAAGGTCAAGCAGCAGCTGGGCTCTAGGGGGAGAGTGGCACCGAGAGCATGGGCCCTGGGGGTGGCCTGGGCAGTCCCCGAGAGCCTGTCAGTGTGCAGGGGGGCGGGGAGGGGGCCGTCTAGGGGGCCGTGCCGGGACCCAACTGGTCCCAGCCCAGGCCACTTCTGGCCCTCCTAGTGGCCGCTGTGGGCAGGGGCACAGAGCTGCGTGTGGACGAGGCCCTGCAGGTTGGCCTCGGCACCTTGAGCCACACCGTGGGTGAGAGGACCCTCACCCCGACTCCCATGCCCACTTCGAACAAGCAAGGAGAGGCCTCATCCCTCCTGGCCTGAGGCTCCCAGCCCGTCTGGAGCCTGGGGACGTGCAGGGGCTCCCCAGGGCCCTGGGCAACCAGAGGCTGTTTCAGTTGCATCCATTTAACTTTTTCTGGCCCTTGGAGGTCCTGAGCCTGGCCTGTCCGAAGGTCCATTTCTGACCCCCAGCTTGGCCCCCAGCCAGGCCCCGGGGTGGAAAACAGGCGGCTGCTGGGGTCCAAAGGCATCCGAGGAGTCGCTTAGGTAAAGTCTGTCAGATTCCAGTCACCGGCTCCTGACGGAAGGGCCGACTAGCGTGTAGGCGCACCTGCCCCCCGCCCCCCACCCGCCCCTGCCCGGTGAGGAGGGAGCTGAGGAGGTGACGCAGGCTGTCTTACGGGGCTCCTGTCTGACTCCATAGCTCCAGGGCCCTGACTGGTGTCTAGCCGGGTCATTCATTATTTATCCTGAAAGCTTCTTCAGAGTCCCAGGGGAGGGATTCTGTTCCATTCCTGGAAGAGGGATGTGGGCCCCAGAGGCCACAGGAGATGAGGGTATGGCTGAGAGGGCCCAGGGCCCCCTCGCGGACAGCACTTCACAGTTTAGGAAGCACTTGCACACCGTGGTATCTGTCAGCTCCCGTACACCGATGGGGAAACAGAGGCCCAGAGCAGGAGAGGGACTTGCCCAAGGCCACACAGCCCCTCACAGGCCAACGCTTTGGCTGCACGACTGGTTCTTTCTCCCCCTGCCACCCAGAGCCTCCCACAGCAGAGACTTTAGTTATTTTTTCACGACAGCTTTTTTTTTTTTTAAACAATCCTTTGTTTATTAATTTATTGGCCGCACCGCAGGGCTTGCAGGATCTCAGTTCCCTGACTGGGGATTGAACCTGGGCCCTCGACAGTGAAAGCACGGAGTCCTAACTGCTGGACCGCCAGGGAAGTCCCGAGACAGGTGTGTGTGTGTGTGTGTGCGTGTGTGTGTGTGTGTGTGTGCGCGTGTGTGTGTGTGTGTGGTACGTGGGCCTCTCACTGTTGTGGCCTCTCCCGTTACGGAGCACAGGCTCCGGACGCTCAGGATCAGCGGCCATGGCTCACGGGCCCAGCCGCTGCGCAGCACGTGGGACCTTCCCCGACTGGGGCACGAACCTGTGTCCCCTGCATCGGCAGGCGGACTCTCAACCACTGTGCCACCAGGGAAGCCCCGGAGACAGCTTTTTATATATTAACATTGTCGGGGGAATTCCCTGGTGGTCCAGCGGTTAGGACTCTGCGCTCTCACTGTCGTGGCCCCGGTTCAATCCCTGATTGGGGCACTAGGATGCCGCAAGTCGCTCAGTGTAACCGGAAAAAAAAAAAAAATTGCTGGTTAAGGAAGCCTGGGGGTGGCCAGGTTCCGTGGGGGGTGTTTTGTTGGCACACCGTTCAGGTGCTCCCCACGCCAGGGCGGGCCTTTCCTTATTTCTCCGAGGAGTGGGCTGGCTTGAGTTGACAGACCAGGAGCTGGGGGGACACCTGCAGAGGGCCTGGGGGGGAGCCCGGGCGGGGGCTGGGCCCCGAGCACCATCGTCCACCCGCTGTGCCCATGTCCGTGTCGCCCTCCGCGGGATGGACGGTGGTCCGTGGTCAGGAAGCCGGAGCGGCCTGCTCGTCCCCACGTGGCCCGTCCCGGGCTTCCTGCTGAGGACAGTCTGCTTGCTGGGCGCTGCTCGAGGGCATGTCCTGCCTGGCCCGCCTCTACCTGCTGCCCTGAGCCACGCACCTCCGCGGGGGGCCACTCTTTCAGGTGGTCAGCTCGTTATCTGCAGTGACCAGTGTGACCGGTGGCTGCACCCTGGCAGGGAACCCCTTGTCAGAGACAGAGGCCGTCTGGCCACGGGGCGCTCTGTTTCTCAAAGGCCTCGCCACAGCGGGAAGAGCGAGGGGCAGGAACATGGGGGCTGGAAGCTGAGGCCGGGGGCCCGGGAAACCCCGTGGCCTCTTTTGTGGCCTGGCTGGTGCTGCCCAGCTGTCTTGCGGCCGCCTCTCCCCATCCCTCACCTCCCAGGGGACAGCCAAGGCCCAGGGACCTTCAGGTTCCGTCTGCAGGGGAGGGGAGCGTGGTGCAGGGCCTCAGATGGGCTCAGGCCCACAGTGGGCAGAGCCGTGCAGTGCAGACCCTGGGCCTGGGGCCCGAGTGGGGGTGGGGGACGTCAGGCAGTGTGGGAAGGGACCCCGTCCGGCCCAGCCCGGGTCCTCCTGGCACCTTCAGCCGAGAATATCTGACAGCTTGCTGTTTGCCAGACACCGGGCGTTGTCTTCTTAAATCTTCCCGAGAGTGACGGCCACGTGAGGAGCTTACTTTGATCATCCCCATTTTACTGATGTGAAAATGGAGGCTCAGAGAGGTTAATGGACCTGCTGATGGTCACACAGCAAAGCGATGGAGACGAGAGACAGACTCAGATGTGCTGGACACTGAGGCCTGTGCTCTTACCTTCTGAGCTTCTTGCTCCCCAGGGCGTCCTCTTTAGAAAAAGCGCGTTGATTATACGACCGTACTTTACGTTTGCGTAACACATTATATTACATTTTATTCCCATGTTGGTGTTATACCATATATTTGGTTATTGCCGGTTAACTTATTAAAAAGCAGCATTTGTTCATTGCAGAGAGTTTAGAAATTCCAGAAAAGCAAAGAGAGGACGAATGAGCCCAAGGTCCTGGCACTCACACTGGGGCACGTGCATCCTTTCCAACATCCAAGGCGGTGTAGGTCCCGAGCCTGACTTCTTGCTGAGTCCCATGTCACCTTGGCCCTGGGGCCTGGCCGATTTTTCTGGGGAGGCCTGGCTGCCACGTGGCTCCCCCAGGTCCGGAGCCCCCGAGTGCCCCTCCGCCGAGGGCCGGGCGAGGCAGGGCCGGGAGCAGCTGTTTCTCACCCTTGGCTCTTGTGTCTTTCGTTTCAGGAAATTAAAATGCATGACAGATAGCGAGTCCGTCCCGCCCGACTGGCCCTATTACCTAGCCATTGATAGGATTCTGGCCAAGGTCCCCGAGTCCTGTGATGGCAAACTGCCGGACGGCCAGCAGCCGGGGCCCTCCACGTCCCAGACCGAGGCGTCCCTGTCGCCGTCTGCTAAGTCCACCCCTCTGTACTTACCGTATAAGCAGTGCTCCTACGAAGGCCGCTTCCAGGACGATGGCTCCGCCAGCTCCTCCAGCTTACTGTCCCTTAAGTTCAGGTAGTGTGTGTGCTTCCCTCTCTTGCCTCCACACCAGCGGGGCCGGGCACCCGCCCTCCGGAGAGGGGGCTGAGGGCCGCGAGGGGGCTGTCCTGGCGGCGGCATCCTCGGCCGGCCCGGGCCAGCCGCGGAAGCCTAGGTAGTATGCACCAGCCCCCAGGGGCAGGGAGGCCAGAGACAGGAAGGCAGGTGGTTCCCGAAGCTTGGGCTGTCATGTCCACAGACTGGGTGCATCTCCTGCTCCATCACCGCTTAGCTGTGTGGAAAGTCCTTGATCTCTCTGGGCCTCAGCCTCCCTCTGTGAAATGGGGATAAATCAGGACCTTCTCCAAGGAGGGCTGGGATTAGAGGCGAGCGCTCCCGCCTTCCCTCGGCTTCTGGCTCTTGCGCTCCCCCTACCCCAAGCAGACCGTGCCCTGGGGTCCCCTTCTCCCTGGCCTGGCCGGGCCGGCTGGTCTCTCAGCACCGGGGAGGGGGTGTCAGGCTGAGCCTCCAGGGTGTGCTCGGAGCCTGGCTGCAGTGGGGGGACGCAGCCCCTCTGCCGTCCACGGCGTCCTGCCAGGCGTGTGCTGACCCTGCCTAAAGATGCCCTCAGTCAGGTGTGCGGGAGACACACCCCTGTGGTGTGGGGGCCGGGGAGCCAGAGGAGGTGACGTTTGGGCTGGGCTTTCACGGATGAATAGGAGTTGGCCAGTGGGGGAGAGAACAGGAAGAGTGTGGATTTGAGCTGTGGCCCTGCCTCCCCTGAGCCTGGTCTCAGGTCTGTCAGATGGGAGTAGGGTGGGGTGAGGAAGGCATCTCCGGGGGCCCCTCCAGTCTGACACCCCCAGTCTGGGGGGCTGCTGCTCCGTTTGTTCTCAGCAAAGACCCCAGACAGAAATGCCTTTGCTGGTGGCCAGGCCGAGTTGCAGGGAAGTCTGAGATTTACGGACAGTTGTTTCCATGGATTGAGCCCAGTTCCCAGACTGACAGCTGCCCCAGGCATTGCACCAGGACTGGGACGTGGGGCTGTTCTCCCTCTCGGGGCCGAGCTCTGCTCTCTGCCCCTGAGGTTGGCGGGGTCACGAATCTTCTGCACAGAAGCAGAGGGCCTGGGCTCGGGGACGGGCAGGATCTCGGGGCCTGGTGGGGTTTGGCAGCCCCCTGCCCACCCGTGGGGGCCGGTTAGACCCGGGATGCCCCACCCCCGAGCAGAGAGCCCAGGGCATGCCCACCCAGCTCAGCGGGTTTGGGGGTGCTCTCGTGGCAGGGACCCCCCGCCTCCTAAGCCTGTGCCCCCTTCGTGGTGGGAGGGCCCGGCCCTCACGTGCGTGGACGGTAGCCCAGCACCCCTTGTGCCCGGTGGCGGCCGGGAGGGTCGGGCAGGCCCGGGCTCCGTGGCCAGCCGTCCACACGCCAGCGCTGTCCTTCCAGGTCGGACGAGCGGCCCGTGAAGAAACGCAAGGGACAGGGCGGCCACTTGCAGAGGAAGAAGCTGCGGCTGCTGGAGACGATGCTGGAGGAGCAGCGCCGGCTCAGCCGCGCCCTGGAGGAGACGTGCCGCGAGGTGCGCCGCGGGCTGGACCAGCACAGCCTCCTGCAGGCGCAGGGCCTGCAGCTGCAGGAGCGCATGATGAGCCTGCTCGAGAAGATCATCGCCAAGTCCGGGGTCTAGGCCGCCCACCGGCCCCCCGCCGCCGCCGCCTCAGCCTCCAGCGTTAAAGCCCCCCAGGCACGCGGCCGGCTGGGGCCCCGGGCTCACGGCAGGGCAGCTCCCGGGAAGAGCCTCCCGGAATCTGCTCTCCAGTATCGTCACTGTCGACGGTACTCGGAACGGCTTTTGATGTTAAACGTGTCATTTTCATCACTGCCTGGAAGCGGAGGTCACGGTGCAGCCCTGGAGGGAGGCGCAGGCGGTCCCTCCCAAGACGAAGCGGGTGGACGCAGCGCGGGGGCAGGTGTGTCCCCCTCCCTGGGTCTGCTGCGTCGGCCCCGAGAGCCTCGAACACCTGGGCCAACCCCAGAGGCCTGCACCGCCTTCAGCGGCCTTTTCATCTGTCCCCCCGGGACGTCGGGCGTCCCGACAGCGCTAATAACAGCGGTGACCCTGCCCGCTGGGGACACCCTGTCCTGTTCCACCGTCTCTGCCCAGGGATGCGGCGGGGATGAGACGAGGCCGAGCCTTGGGGAACTGACACTCGGGGGGCAGGCAGGCGAGTGAGTGGAGAAGCCAGGTAACAGCAGGTTGTGAAAGTGCTGGCAGGTCAGGGCCGGGCTGGCCGTGGGCGCACGTAGCCGGCAGCCATCCAGGGGCTGCCTCCCCGGGAGGGAGAGGGGCTGGGGGTGGGAGCCTCAGCGCTGCGAGATCTGCCAGCAGGAAAGCCCTTCCAGAGCCCCCCCGCCCCCCAGTTCCTCCTGAGTCTCATCTGGGCCCAGGTGGCTGAAAGAAGGCACCACAGGAGAGCCGGGGGTTACGTCTTGTTCAGGGCCTCCCTGGGGACGTAGCCTGGGACGCTGCCACTCCGTAGCTCTGAGGACGCTCTTCCAAAAAAGTGGGGAGAAAGAAGCCTCTTGATATGTGACTTTTGGTAGGAGATATGGCAGTCAGGTCCCAGTGAAAGGTCACAGCTAGTCACAAAGAACAGACGTCTCAGTTAATGGCTGTAGCGCTTTTCTCTGTATGGGAAGAACCGGATTCATTAAAACTTGCTGAGATACACGTCTACCTGTCCGAGGGCCTGATTGTTTGTCCAAAGCACAGAGTACCCCGTCACGGTCTTCACGTCCTCTGTCTGGAGTGTGGAGGGCTTCGTCCTGTCACCTTTTTTGGGGGGTGGGGGCCACGCCGTGAGGCGTGTGGGCTCTTAGTTCCCCGACCAGGGATCAAAGCCGGGCCCCGTGCGGTGGAAGCGCAGAGTCCTAACCACTGGACTGCCGGGGGAGTCCCCATCCCGTCGCCTTGATCCCCTCGCAGGGTGCACTGTGGCCCCACCCCGTGCAGCTGGGTGATGAGCAAAACCCTCCGTGGCTCTCTGTTTTACAAGGAATGCCTGGTTCACCCCTGGACTAGCAAGTTGCTGCCACACAGCAGGGTTCTGAGGAGACACAGTGGGTGGGTTAGTGACAGGTGACTTATGGGGTGGAAAAGCTCCTCTGACTGTTGCTCAGCAAACTGCTGGGATTTTTTGTGGGGCTACGGGGTGGGGAGTGGAAGCCGGGGCCCTGCAGGAGGCTGCCGCAGTCTCCCTGTGTGACAGCCACCAGCTCATCTGAACCTCCATGACCCTTGAGGGCAGCCAGCCAGTAACCAGGGCTCTGCTGGTGTCAGAGCACCCCCGGTGAGCCAGGTGGTGTAGACACCTGTCTGCTGGAGGGAGGGGCTGGGTGTCCTGTGCAGCGTGGAGGGCGGGGCCGGGTGGGCAGGACGGCCCAGCGGGATCCCCTCGGAGAGCACGTGCTGTGGACTCAAACCATTGCACTTTGGGACTGAAGAGGTGGTGTGTCTGGGGAATGTTTACCCAGCTCTGCAGCAGGGGTGGAGCCCTGCCGTGTCAACTTGCAAGTATTCCCACGAGCCCCAGCTGCCGGGAGTGTGCTGCCGCGTATGCCCTGCCGGGAGTGCGCTGCTAGGTGTGCCCTGCTGGGTGTGCCTGGCTGGGAGTGTGCTGCCGGGTGTGCCCTGCCGGGAGTGTGCTGCCGGGAGTGCGCTGCCGGGTGTGCGCTGCCGTGTGTGCCCTGCCGGGTGTGCCCTGCCGGGAGTGCACTGCCGGGAGTGTGCTGCTGGGTGTGCCCTGCTGGGTGTGCCTGGCTGGGAGTGTGCTGCTGGGTGTGCCCTGCCGGGTGTACGATGCCGGTGTGTGCTGCCGGGTGTACCCTGCCGGGAGTGCACTGCCGGGTGTGCGCTGCCCGGTGTGCGCTGCCGGGTGTGCCCTGCCGGGTGTGCACGGTGGCTCCCACATCCACCACAGAGGCCCAGAGCCTGGAGGCGCCTCATGTTGAAGGCCTGTGTTTGGGGGCTGCCCTGGCGAATTTCTAGCTCTTAGACAAGGCACCAGCACGAGAGCTCACTCAACTGACACTAGGCCCCGGCCAGGCTGGGCCTGAGAGGGTCTGGACTGAACCCCGACAGGCAACCGACCCCATCAGGGTGGTCATGCCCAGGAGCCCTCCAGGAGGGGTGGACCGAGTCGTGAGGCAGAGTCTCACCTTAACGTCTTTGCGTTCCTAGAATCAGGGTCACGAAGTATTAGTGTTTCAGAAACTGCGAGGCCTCAGTTACAACGTGTAATTTTGCTTTTTTGCATTTGTATTTGGAGGTAATCTGGTCTGTTTTCTTTTCCCTGCTCTCTCCATCAGAGTTTGTAATTAATGCCCCTTCTCCGTCCTCAGTGGAATCAGCTTATCCCTGTCCTTGGTCTGGACAGAGCCGTTTAGGGTCCAGCGGAACTCAGCTGAGAACCGCCCAGGTCGCGCCCTTCATAAACGATGTGTCTTTAGCCGCTTTCCAATGTCTTCTACAGGTTATTTTTTTTTGCGGTACGCGGCCCTCTCACTGTTGTGGCCTCTCCCGTTGCGGAGCACAGGCTCCGGACGCGCAGGCTCAGCGGCCATGGCTCACGGGCCCAGCCACTCCGCGGCATGTGGGATCTTCCCGGACCGGGGCACGAACCCGTGTCCCCTGCATCGGCAGGCGGACTCTCAACCACTGCGCCACCAGGGAAGCCCTGTTCTCACCTTTTGAGACAGACTGCATTATGTCTATGGAATGTGTATCTCTCTAAATAAATCCACTTCTTACCTATCCAAAAAAAAGAACATTTAAAACAATATCTGAGCATGTGGAGAGATCCCAGAAACTCCAAAATATAATGTAATTTTATTAATGAAACCCCAACTCTGCTCTCAATAACACTGCACTTCTTTGTTTTGAAATGGGTGGAATTATTTTAAAATTCACATGAAAAAGGAATAGGGCAAAAGCTCCGAGGCCGACAAAAGTGGGAAGACGTGCTCAGCTCCAGGAGGCAGTGGGAAAATACGAAATTAAATGCGAACATGCATTTCACACTCGTGAGATGGGAGAACGTCAAGAAACGAAGACTCGGACACGGCCGGTGGCCACATAGACTGATGCAACCGTTCGGAGGAGCCATCTGGCATTTCTTAGTAGAGCTCGTCAGCCGGGCCGTTCCCACACGTGCCAGCCCAGGGCTGAGTTCTCAATCCGGGGCCTCGGGACCCCGATAAATAACACTCTTCAAAGTTATCGAAGATGCCAAGAGCTTTTCGTTTATGTGGGTTCTAACTGCCAATATTAACACCTGTTGGAGTACCTTATTAGAAATTAAACCTAAGATTTAAGAAATATTCACTTCAAAGTAACAATAAACTCACTACAATGGTAACCTAAGTAACAATTACACGGAAAATATGTTTTCCAAAACAAGAAGTTTTAGCGAGAAGAGTGGCATCGTGTCACCTTTCCACAAATCTCTGGCTTCAGAGAGGTCAGCGTCCACTGTGGCACATGGCTTGGTTGGAAAATGTGAGAGGATCTGGGAAATCCAGACTCACATGCTTACACGTTTGGGAAAGAAAGGAAGGTTTAATGACATCTTCAGGTCACGGACGTTCTTCCTCGTGACGACACCCAAACTCAACAAGCGGTGGTCCCTCTCGGGCTGGTTGCAACGTGGAATCTGAAATCATATCGATGAACTTTCACTTCTGTCTTATTGGAAACCATCTGTCCGTCCTGCGCCTGGACCAGTCCTTATGCACACTTGTTCCTGTGGCATCACACACTGGGCATTTGGAAGATAACGGATCACCAAGCAATGGAGGTGACAGTCCTGTATCAAAGTGTCACTTTTGTGAACGTCACCATCAGTCTCAGCAGAAAAGTCTTTAGTTTGGTAAGTTGGCGAGGTTATGGTGGTGGATGCAGGTTTTTCAAAATCCCAGTCTTTGCGTGAAAGCTTGAATTTTATTGTTGGTCACAAACACTCCGTTTTCCTTGAAGGGAGAGGCTCACTTTGTCGTTTTCAAGAAAATGTCTGCCAGGTCTGAATAATCAGAGCTTCTATCAGTCCTTCCTTCAAGTAAAAAGTTGTTGCATTAAAATGTGTGTGTATTTTTCAGCCAGCAGCTCAAACAGCTGCACACGTGCTTTTCCCCAACCTCCCTGCAGGCCTGGAACTGAAGTGCTTTGTGTGTATCTGCCATTTGGTCACACGGCAGATTAAGCCATGGACTCAAGGGCCAAGATTCGATAGAATTAACCCTTCTCCAGCAGGTGCTGCCTCTGAGGGCCCCAGGCAGCTTTCTGACACTGTCTTCTGGAGTGTTCCATTGGAACCGTGCTGGCCAGAACTCCTCACCCCATGTGGTCCCAGGGTCCCAGGGTCAAGGGTGAGGTTGTGTGAGGCTGGGAAGGCGGAAGTGAAGGGGAGGCCTGGATGCTCTGAAGGCTGCAGTGGCTTGCGGTCGTAGGGGGTTAGGGGCATCGACGCAGCAGGGGAGAGACACAGCTGTCTCAGCTGTTCCAGTTTGTCTGGTGCAGTGTAACTGGCCACGTGAGCCATTTCGGGGAACTGGTTCCACGGCATTTTGGGGGCACCTGCTCAGGTTCAGGTGCTGTGATACTGCGTCCCTGCCCTTGAGGAGCTGAGGACAGACCTCAGTTCCTTCATTCAGATCTCTGCTGTTTGGTGTCAAGGTTGATTCAGGTTTCCCCTGTAACAGACAGTGCACCGAAGACCCTCCCTCCCCTCCCTCATGGCAGAGCCGCTAAAGGCCCGTCAGTATCCATGCTTTCCTTCCTCAATGACAAAATGCTTATATTATTCTGGGCAACAATGTTCCAACTAAATCTGACCAAAGTCCCTTGCAATTTAGGGTGGCAAGTAAGGCATCTGAGGAAGTTAGGTGCAAACTCTAGGAAACGTCCTTAAGAAAGTAATAGGCAGGTATGTGGGTTTTTCTTGCCCTTTCCCCACTTTCTCCTGCTTCCTGCCCAGCAACAGGGGAGATGGAGGAGATGTCTGGCTCTCCAGCAGCCTTCCAGGACTATGAGGCCCTCTTGAGGATGAAAGCCACAAGCCCAACAGAGCAGAAAGACTGAGGGCCCTGGCATCTGCCTGCGCCGTGAAGCTGCTGTGTGGGCCTGGCTTCTCTTATGTGAGAGAGAAATAAAATTCCATCCCATGTCAGTGTTATTTCCAGCCTCTGTTTTTTGCAGCCAAACTCAATTTTTAACAGAGAATTTAGTACCAGAAAGGGGAAAGGGTATTGGCAACAGCGGCTCCTGGAACAATGTACCAGCCAAGTGGAGGCAGCTGAATGGGGGGCAGAGGGGTCACGAGGGCCTACCCATTGCCGCTGGAAAGCCGGTGACACGCGCCATGTCACGGGGATCGTGTGGCCAGACTGCCACCCACCTGGCCCACCTTGGCAGGCAGACACACAGGCAGGCTGGCAGCGCTGGGGGGATGGGGGGAATACGTTCAGAACCCTGGTGAGAGCTGGGCCCTCTTGGCACCTTGAGCGAGGCCCCAACAGCAGAAGGGGAGCCCGGGGGGTGCGCAGCATCCTAGGGCCAAGGCCCCTCACGCCACGCGTGTACGGGGTCCCCGAGTCGGGATAGGGGAGGCCGGGAGGGCTGCAGGTGTGGGCAGGGCCCCGGGGACCCGGGCTGCTCTCATCTCAGAGGCCACAGTCAGTG